AGATGCTCCACATTCGTTCTCCTTAAGTTTCTTAAGCACATCCCTCCTTGCCCATTGGATAGCAATGCTTTTCAGCCCCTGTTCAGTCAGCTTAAGGGCACTTTGGAGGCATTTGCTGCTTTTCTACTTCTTTTCACTCCCTTTACTATAGCACATCATTCAATTTATGTTAATTTAGTTTATAACTTATAATCTTGACTTTATTTGTTTATTATTTTTAATTCTTGTTTTGTTAGGCAACCTGAAGGTGCCTCATGAAGACACAGAAAAGCCTTGGGTAGAAATGTCACATGGCTCTGAGACTGACAGTCCAAGCAGCGAAGGAAAAAGAGTAATGACTCTTTCCAGATTAAGGGAGTCATTCTCTCTCCATCAAAGTGAGAGTTATTTCCAAAGCCCTAAAAAGGTAAAACAGCGACACAGCTCTACTAAACAACTGTCACTTGATACCATTTTGAGTACTGTGAGGACTCCAAAGACTGTTTTGAGTGAGGATTCTGAGAGTTGTCGTGAGACAAAGTCAGAGATGTCAGTTCCAAAGAGATATTTGAGAAAAGTAGAAGAAAATACAGATTCTGGATTCTGTAGCACTTCTGGATCAGATGCTGGATATAACACACCAGAGGCTGGGAGCTGTGCCATTAGTGAAACTGTAAATAATCCCGTTGAAGAAGAATTCTGTAGCTCAGAAGAACAACATCAAAATGAGTGTCTTAAGACTGATGGACATGGTGAGAAATCATTGGTACCTGACATTCAGGTCTCAGGCACTGAACATAAATTAAATGGAGTGAATGACTGGAATAACCAAACTAACTTACCTCAAGAAGCCAGTAATTCTTTACCAAGAGTAAAATGTTTTAAAAGTGAGGCAGATGACTTCAAGGCAGGTGTGCATCCTGAAGTGAAGAATACCAGAAACTATATGCCATGTGTTGATGTATTGGTGGAAGTTAAAAAGAAAACTGTACCTCTTGAATTCTCTATGAAAGCTTTAGCAGAAAGGGTAAGAAAGATTGTACAGCAACAACAGAAGTGTACAGAAACACAAAATTACAGAAGATTTAGAGCAAAAATTAGTCCTGGAGAAAATAAAGTAGCAGAAGATGAATTAAGAAAAGAGATCAGGTATTTTCAGCTTCTTAACTTGTATTCGCTAATTAATAACAATAGCTAAGGAGAAAAAATAAAAACTGTCTTGGAGGGTGGGAGAAAGGCTTACATCTACTTTCTAATTTTGGAGATGTCTTTTGTCTAACTCATTATGCCATTAAATCATCCATTTGGGCAAGCTCTTTTACCTGGCAGAGGTCTGCAGTTGTTGGAACTCAGTGCAAGCAGAATGTGGAAGAAGACACTAAAATGAAGGCCAAAAATGTCATAGACATGGCTCAGCTAAAATTTGTAATCTGCAGTGCAGGCAGAGAAATGTTATGCCAGGTCTGTGACACTTAAGAGATTGCACAGCTCGTATTTCTCCTTCATTAATTTGAAATTTGATGAGATGGTGGTGAAAATAAGTTGTCTTCAGATGATCATTGGGCAGTAACAGTGTAGAATTTGTGAATTTTGGATTTTAAATAAGGTGAAGAAAGTCTTCTCTTTCCAAAGAGTCAAACGTGTCAGCTGGCTTAAGAGCATGCTGCTGCCTCTGGTACTGTTTATGTGCACCATCACCATCCTGCACGCTTCTAATTCTCTTACCATTAGTGGCTATGTTTAAAGTGGGTGAATGTTGAGCAAATCTTGTCTGCTCTTGGATTGTTCTCTGCCAGACGTGGTGCCACCAGTCAGCGCCAGGTTCTGCATTCATATCCTGCTTCCATTAGACTTCATGTATATATTTTCCATGTAAAGTTCTGCAGGGGAAAAAAGGATGTTTTGAAGTTTATACTAACGTGGTAACTGATGAGGCTTGTCTTGTGATTTGCTTATATTTCCTATATACAGTAAAGAAATGTTTGCAAAAATGGAAATCATTGGCCAGTTCAATTTAGGGTTTATAATAGCCAAGTTGAATTCTGATCTTTTCATAATTGACCAACATGCTACTGATGAGAAATACAACTTTGAGATGCTACAACAGCACACAGTTCTTCAAGGCCAGAAGCTGATAGTGTAAGTATTCTCAGTGTTTTAACAATTTTATCACTTTAATTAAGTGTTTTAGAATGATATGTATGATTTTTTCTTATTTAAGTATTTCACACATTCAAAACATTTACAGCAAAAGTTATTTTTATATTCAGTATTACAAAGAATCAATCTTTAGATTAAATTTCCAATAAACTGCAGATAATTGTAGCTGTGCAGCCAGTAAATGGTCAGTGAGGTTTCACAGCAGGATTGATGTCAGCCTCAATTTGCTGAGTGTGGTTTTGGAGTGAGACTGGAGATGGTTATAGGCACAGGGAATGTAGTTTTACTGTGCTGAGTAACACTTGGAAACAGTGCTCTGCTCATGGTGTGGTTTGTTATTGTTAGTTTTTACGAAGCAAGTGAGATGTTTTCCAAGAGAGTTGTGATGTTGGTGTCAGTACCTTAAGCACTCTGTGTTCTGTACCTGTGCAATGCTGTGTTTTTCTCTTTCAGGCCTCAAAATCTCAATTTAACTGCTGTAAATGAAACAGTACTGATTGAAAACCTGGAAATATTCAGAAAAAACGGGTTTGATTTTGTGATAAATGAAAATGGTGAGTTTGTGCCAGAATTATTTTATCCCAATTTGTATACAAAAATCTCTGAGCAGAAAAATTGAAATGATTTATCATTGTATACATGGTTTTTTGTGAGGCTTACCATTTTGTAGTCTTCTTGTGCTGTTTATGAGAACATTGCAAAGTACCTCACTTAAAAAAAAGTCGTTGCAGACTTTATAGTCACTATATGGAGTTTGGGTTTGTGACAGAATGTGCATCTCCTGGATGTCTTATATTGAAATGTTTTTCCTGTGCTCTTAGACTCGTGGGTCCCAGCCAGGTTAGGTACAGGGAAATGGTAAACCTTGTGATTTTAAACTAAGATAGCACTGCTGAAATATTCTGTGTCTTTCCTTACTGCTTCAGCATTGACTCGATGTGTACTGATCACATTAACTGTGAGCTCCACGCTCCTACAACGCAGGGTAACGTGTATTTCAGAGCTTCCTGGAGGAGGACTGTGAAAGCATTGTGTGCCAGCACTGCTGGCATTTGGGAAGTCACTACAGATTGTTCTGTATCTTATGCTTCAGAATCTCCAATTTTTGCCTAAAATGCTATTTATAATCAAGTTTTTACCAACAGAAATCTGCTTTTTGAAATTGAAGTGTTTGTCATGAAAAGTTTGCAAGCAGTTTCTTGTCAGTGTTAGAAGAGCATATCTGCTGTACTGCTTTGGTTAGCTGTACATCTCATCAAAAGACTAAATTGAAATGTTGGCACACAGACAGAGGACATCAATGTGTCAAAGTAGTTTATCTGTTTTTACTCTTAAGAAAAAGTAACTTCATGTAATGTTCTTGTTTCTTTATTAATTATTGCAAATCTTTCAGCTCCTGTTACCCAGAGAGTTAAATTAATATCCTTGCCAACAAGCAAAAACTGGACATTTGGTCCTCAAGACATAGATGAGCTGATCTTCATGTTAAGTGACTGCCCTGGGGTCATGTGTAGGCCCTCCAGAGTCAGACAGATGTTTGCTTCTCGAGCTTGCAGAAAATCTGTAAGTACAGCACTTGATGTTTGTTTTCAGATAAGAACTGTATTTTCTGGTGTATTACACGTGGCTGTATCTGCATATATACTGCAGGGGAAGTTTCTTTACTACTAGATTTCAGCAGCTAATATTCTTTTATTCCCTGTGTTTTTCTCTAGTGTGGCTTCAGAAGGATCCTGGCCATTTTATATTCTGGCTTAAGCTCGTGCATTTCTGAACATACTTGTTTTGTCTTTTGATCACCTTGCAGGTCTTTTTCCTTCTAATGTCTTGCACAATATTTAATTGCTGTAGTAGTGGAAGTACTACTCTTATCTGTACGTCAGTATGTTGTCAGTATGGAGTAAGAAAATGTTGGTTTTGTTTCTGACGTTATTGGCAGGTGATGATTGGAACTGCTCTGAATGCGCAGGAGATGAAAAAGCTGGTTACCCACATGGGTGAGATCGAGCATCCCTGGAACTGCCCCCACGGAAGGCCTACGATGAGGCACATAGCCAGTCTGGACCTGATTGCAGCTGAGTGACTGCCAGCTTCTCTTCTGTGAGCTTCTCTTCTGTGACGCTTCCACGGCAGCAGCTCGGTGCTGCTCTGGCTTTTAGCACGGCCTCTGACTGAAATACGTAGCCAGGATCACCTCTGGCAGTGAGGAGTCATTCAGCGTCTTCTGGTCAGCGGTACTGACATGGAGTTCGTGTGTAAATGCCGTCTTTTATTGTGGCTTCCTTTTTGTATTACTTAATTTCCTAGTCAAGATTTTTAAAATAAATGTAAACGTGTTCACGCAGGGACCTGGAGCGGGCTGCATCCTTCCCTGCAGGCAGGTGATCCTTAGTGCCTGACTGGGCACGGCCTCCACCGGCCGTGGGGTCATTTCAGATTAAAGGCAAACCATCTGCAGCTGGAAATGCAGGCATTTCTCTCTTAGGCTAAACCCGGGTTTCATTGGTAATTACTTCAAGCATTAATGTTGTGTTTAATGATTATCTTACTGCCATCTGTGCTTAGCGTTCAAACAGAGTAAGCCGTCCCGCATATTCAATTAGCTCTACTGCCACTTATGTTCCAAACGTTTTTCACAAAGGGATCCTCCTTTCCCGAGGACAAACAGCGAGCAGCCGGCCGGCCGCGCTCACGGGTGCGTGGAGCCAGACGGGGGGCCGGGCTGCCCGCAGGGCCGCCGCGTTCTGCCGCCCCTCGGCCCACGCAGCGCGGAGCCCCACGCGGCGCGGCCGTTTGGCGCGAGGACGGCGGCTCGGCTCCGCTCGGCTCGGCTCCGCTCGGCTCGGCTCCCCTCGGCTCGGCTCCCCTCGGCTCGGCTCCCCTCGGCTCTGCGCACGCGCTGCCGTCGCCTTGGTTTCCCGGCGCTGCGCTGGCGCCGTCCGTGCCGCGCTCGGATTTGATTCCTGTATCGTAAGGCTGCGGTCGCTGATCTGTGGGGGAAAAAAGCGTGGATTTGCGCGAGCACAGCTGTTCTCGCTGTCCCGGGGCTTCCTGTAAGCGCTGCCTGGCGGAACGGCCCCGTTCCGTAAGCCGTGACGGCAGGTTAGGCTGCGCCGAGCCCCACAGCGCGGAGCTGCGGCGCTGCAGCTGAGCGGGGCTCTGCGGGCGCTGTGCGCGGCTGGCGGCGGTTCGGCCGTCACACGGCGCCGGATCCGGGCCCGACAAAACTCCCGGGTACGCGGCCGGCTTTGTGCAGCAACAAGAAACCGGCCTGGGAGGCGCTTTGGAGCTGAGCGGGTCTGAGCGCCGCAAAGCAGAGCCCCGAGGAGTCGCCGTGGTCGCGGTGAGGGAAGGGGAGATGCGGCGGGCCGCTTGGTTTTTGTATCGCGTGGGAGCGGAGAGCTCTGCGTGAGCAGGCGGTACTCAGAAGGGAAGGAGAGGTTCAGACGTCTCAGTTATGGCAAAGGACAAGAAGAAAGATGGCAAGAAGTCAGAGAAGCCCGTCCATCCTGCCCCTGCGCACGGTGCTGCGGCTGAGAGCAGTCCCACAAAGCTGACGGCTCTGCGCTCCTCGGCCCGTGAGGCAGAAGGAGCACAGGCAAGTGCAGCGGAATCGGATAAAGAACCAGAGAAAGCAGAGGAGCCCCCCGCCCAAGACGTTCCTCCATACTACGAGGAGCCCATTCTTACTCAACTCGTTGTGAAAAGGTATGTTTGGTACGGGTCTGTCCGTTAGATTGGGAATTCTTGGTCAGGTGTCCCTGCTGTACCTGCTACGTGTGATAGAAATACAGCTGAGACACTTGATTTGTGGCAGTGAGCAAAGTTCTTCAGACCCAGTAGCACTGACACCGTGTCGCAGTGATGCACAGAGGTTCCACTGCCCTGCTTGGATCCTGCAGTGCTGCTGGCACTCGCTGCCTGCTGAGAGGCTTGTTCTTCAGTATGGGGTGAGGTGCAGGCGGTTTGTGTGGAAAGCGTATTCACATCACTTAATTTCCAGTTGTTGTTGTTGTCTCTTAGTGTTTATGGCTCTTTGTATCCCTTGTGAATGTCCTGAACCGAGGGAAACAGGTGAATGCCATTTCTTAACGAATCGTTTGGTAGCTCAAGGAAAGTGTATGCGGTGTTTCACGTACCCACCAGGTTGCCTGGTTGTAGGCTAGTAAATGTTAACAGTATGATTCTTTTCTTTTTTTAATGGGAAATAAAATAGAGGTCTGAAGCAACACTGTCATGATATGAAATACTACAGGCAAGATGCTGAGAGCTGCAGATGTTGTATCTTGTGTTGGAAATAGAGCTGCAGCAGGGAACTTTGTGCAATCCATCAGAATTATTTTATGTCTGCTGTGATTTTGGTTTCTTGGCAGCGACCTGGAACGTTCATCTTCAGTTGTTCTCTTTGCAGGTATGAAGGTGACAAAGTTCGTAGGTTGTATGAGGGTGAAGGTGTTGCATTTTTTGAGGGAGGAAATATTTATAAGGTGAGTGTATAAATTAATAAATTTTTAAAAATGGTTCTAAAATCTTTTTAGAACAACCGGTAGTTTCTTTTAATGTAGATGCAGGCTGAGTGCTTGAAATGCGTATGTGTTGAAAGTTCTCTTGGTTTCTGGCATTAAAACTTCAATGGAAACTTATTCAGGGTTTCATGTGGTAGTTTGGGTTCTTGTAGTCCCTTGTGTTAGTTGTGGTAGGAACGCATTTGCAAACAATGGCATTCTCTTCACTTTGTAGGGCATGTTTTCTGAAGGGCATATGCATGGACAAGGGACTTACACGTGGGCTGATGGAGTGAAGTATGAGGTAAGGTGCAATGCACCTGAACACTATTACAGCTAATTAGAGGTGTAAATTTGAGTAAAGTTATGTTAGAGTAATTAGTACAGTACAGTTGGTAAATGCAGAACTGTAGCAGTGATTTCAGCTGCAAACCTGGGTTCTTGGAGAAAGCTGGTTATATCTTCCTTGCATTGAGGAGGAACAGTGTCACATGCCTTGTGTTTTGTAAATGCTGTAATTTACTCTCTTAGGGAACGTTCGTTAAGAATGTGCAGATGGTTAATGGATGCTATACGTGGAACGATGGCAGTATTTATGAAGGCTCAATCAAAAATGGACTCAGGCATGGATTTGGCTTTTTCAGGAGTGGTATCCATCCAGTTTCTTACATTGGTTACTGGTATGAAGGCAAAAGACATGGAAAGGTAAATAAAAACACCAAAGCAGAATAGGGGTTCGGGTGAATACATTCTAGAAATGCAATTACTTTTCTGCAAAGGTTTCACAAAGGTGTTCTATGTCACTACACAACCTGATACTGTATAGAGATTCCTTTGTCATTAGCACCTTCTATGAGGTCGTAAATGCTAATAGAAACAGTTGGGTTTGGATCTTGTTTGTAGTAGAGAGAATGAATGGTATGCCAAAAGAGTAATTGGTCTGTGCTGTGGCTTGTCCTTTTGGTTGCTCCAGTTGACAAAGTCAAAACTGATGCCTGCATCCATAGCCACAAAATAATGTTGCTACCTACAAAGGACAAAGTGATCACACCTCCACGACGCACTTGGGCAGACCAAGTGACATTTTTTTAATGCAGATGATTATTTAGGTATTGATTTAAACTGACTGTGCTCTTTGTTTCAGGGCACCATTTATTATGACCAGGAACATATGTCTTGGTACTCAGGTGACTGGGTAGATAACGTCAAAGAAGGATGGGGAATAAGATGGTAAAGAAGATACCACTTTGGTTCTTTTTTCATAAAACATCACGCTTCTTTTTTTTCCCTGTTGTTTGAAAACAGATGCAAATGCTACTGTTTCATAGTAATGTATTTTCTGCAGTGGAATGAATAATTGTTTGAAATGCTTGATGGTAAAACAGATCATCTCTGTGACTTCAACTTGTATGTTGATGTATTTATCCTGGTTACTGCTGAAAAGAAAGTCTTAACAACATGAAATAATTTCAACCTTGCCTTTGTAAACCAGAAGTCAACATTTCAAAACAAATTAATTCAATTGATTTGAGTGGATGGAAGTGCTTTTGTGATTAAATGAATAATTTGCTCTAATGTTATATAAACTAGCAATTTGATTAGTTATGATGAAGGCTTTTCAGAGTGAAAGATTAGTTAACTTACAAACCTCTGTAAAAATATTAAGTAAACAGTGCATAGAGTGAAACTTGTGTGTTCCTGTTGAGCCAAATTAATGCTGCTATTTGACACAAGGAAAATGCTAAGTTTATTAACACTGAGGTTTTGTGTAAACCCTACTTTTGTAGTACCCACTTAGGAGATCATTCCTAATGAATCCTAACCCTTCTTTTTTTCCAGCTATAAGTCTGGAAATATCTATGAAGGTCACTGGGAGAAAAATGTACGCCATGGAAGGGGAAGAATGAGGTGGCTGACAGCTGATCAGGAGTATGTTGGACAGTGGGTGTATGGAGTACAGGTATTAATTTCTTCCTTGGAACTTCTCTAGTTGAATGTCTGTCCTTTAGTCAGTTGCAGTTTGTTAGGTGTTGTGCAATATTGAGGAGCTCGATGTGATTTTGCTAGCAGAGGTTGAGAAGATATGCTGGTTGTTGTAACTTGATTCTCATGTTGGCAGTGTTCACGTTTTTTAAAGGCTTTTAACTTAAGTCTTAAAAATTGTAATTTAATTCTCTCATAGGAAATTAAAAGCTTGTTAATTTTTTTTTTTAAGAAGTTAACTGTTTGCTGCTTGTTTAATCTTGAGATGTGACTTCACATGACCTGTCTGTGGTAATACATGTGTGTCATCTGTGAAGTGTGCTGCTCCTTGTGGAAGCTTCATCATATAGAGAGATTTCTGTCATTTTGTGTTCCTTCCATGTATTATTCTGTTGGAAAAAAGAGTAGGAGTTACTTCCTCTGTCTTTTCACTCTGCACTGAAGTGTCAAGCAGTCCAGCTTCTGGGGCATCGCGGCACTCTGCAGCATGGTGCTCCTCAGCTGGCTGCCACAGCATTAGGGCTGAAAGGATTCGGACAGGAAAGATGTCTTTAGGCGTCCTTTTGTTAGAGCCTGCTAAGTATATGCTGATTTGGGATATCCTCTGGAATGTTTCTCCTGTGCATCTTTGTAGAATATATTCTGCATAGAAGGGCAACAAGGCTGGTGAAGGGCTTGGAGGATATGAAGGAGCAACTGAAGGAACTGGGGCTGTTTGGTCTGGGGAAAAGGAGGCTGAGGGGAGACCTTACTGCTCTCTTCCAATACCTGAAAGGTGACTGCAGTGAGAGCAGGGCTGGTCTCTTCTCACTGGTGACAGGACGAGGGGAAACGGCCTCACGTTGTGCCAGGGTAAGTTTAGGTTGGGTATCAGGAAACACTTATTTACAGAAAGGTTGTTAAGCCCTGCAATGGGCTGCCCAGGAATGTGCTAAAAATCTGTTTGGATGTGGTGTTCAGGGATGTGATTTAGCAGAGGGCTGTTAGGATAGTATGGTTAAGTTGTGGTTGGACTTGATGATCTTTAAGGTCTTCTTCAACCTGAGCAATTCTATGATTCTGTTCACAGCTATTCATTGGGTGCTCTTTATCTGGGAAAATTATCAGCAGCAACTCTTAGAGATGTCTAGATTGTTCTCATTTGTAAAGGTTTGAGTGTGTAGCATTGCTGCACCAAAAGTTATGCCTCCTGTTTTATGATTTTGGCCAATCATGTCAGAGACAGCTGTTGGTGGGATGGTAGCAGAGGCCATGTTCCATGGCGTGTTGTTGCTGTGTGACAGATGGCAGCAGAGGGGCACTGTGACAGAATGGTGCCTGACATGGAAGTGAGGGTGGAGCAAAGGGTGGAACTGAATTCCTCCACGTGGAAAAAGCGACACCCATCAATGCTTGTGAGTGTTTAAGGAAACCAGACAGTGGCTGTGAGTGCAGTGAGGTGGTGTATTTCAGCAGTGGTGATAGCAACAGTGGATCACCTCTGCTGATGCAGATTTGTACGTGTGCAGTATGCAGGCTCTTATTCATCGCTGGTGAAAATACGTAACTGGTGATGGTGACTGTTGAAAAATAGTGGTTTGTAGCTGAGAATTTGCTCTATCAAAGATTGTTATTGTGCTCTTTGGATCTGTTGTAGATTCCATGGAAATAAATAGGAAGCATTGCTTCCAGAGACTCTTCCAGAATGTAGTTCTTGCAGTTCTTCCAAAGACTTTTTAAAAAAATATTTTTAAAGACAAAAATATTTTTCAGCATGGATATGGCACCCACATCTGGTTTCTGAAGAGAATGCCTGCATCTCAGTATCCCCTGAGGAATAAGTACGTGGGTGACTTTGTGAGCGGGGAGCGCCACGGCCGCGGGAAGTTCATCTACGCCAGCGGAGCTGTGTACGATGGCCAGTGGGTTCATAACAAGAAGCATGGCAAGGTGTGTGCTGGTCAGCAGTGAGACAAACCTACAGGCAACACCAGAAAAGACCATTATGCTCTTGTATAGCGGGTTTCTAGATTCCTGTACCAGAAACTACGTTCTGTTTGTGTCATGAATGGAAACTGAACATAAAGCACAGAGGATACTGAAAACAGATGGGGCACTCTCAGGGACCTTCCTGGGCCACCATTTGACTCTGTAGTTAGAAGCATGTCATGCATATAATGAAATACATTTTACTGTGAAGATTTTCAGTGCAGTGGCTGCATGTTGACTTTAGCAACAGCTGCTCAGTACTTCTCCTCCTGTGAGCTAACGAATTTCAAGCTATCCTTGCACAGAGGTTTCTAGTAGTAGATTATTTGGTTTAAAAAAACCAAACACACGACTGTGGGTAGCTTGTTAAATATTAAGAAAGACTGCAGTTTTTTGTATGGGGGGGAGTGTTTTCTCTCAAAATATATTAGAAAATTAAAAGGCATACTGACAATTCTTTAACCCAGCAGTGTGCTTTAACAGGTGACATCATATAAAAGATACAAAAAGTTCTTTGTCTTACTTTATCTCATAGTTGCATTTTAACCAAGATGGACAAAAGAAAGGTTAACTGAGTGTTAATAGTATTTTTTTTCCTAATCTTCTATTCCATAAGAGAATTTATATTGAAATTAACCAATTAAATGTCTGTAGGGCAAGTTTGTCTTCAAGAATGGAAATATTTATGAAGGAGAATTTAGAGATGATAAGATGGTAGAATATCCTGCTTTTCAGCTGGATGCAGTGAGTGCTCCAAAGCTCAATGCCATTTGCTCAGGAAGTTGTTTTGGCTCTGGTGAGTAACTTAATGAGTTCTAACAGCTTACCTTTTGTTGCTCATTTTTCTCTAATGTGAGTCTGTACTTATTCCAGAGTTAGACCACTTTCTTTGGAGAACTTTGAAGATGAGTTATTTTAATAGCTAATGCTTATTATTTCTATTTGTCTTGTTTCTAGTGTGTGACACTTGGAGTGATGAGCTCCTACTGCATCTTGTAACAGTTTGGAAACTGTGTTGTTTGAAATTTAATGGCATATGTAATACCTGCATTTTTTTTTGTTAGTAACTGGATATGAAAAAAACAACCCACTATGTTGTGATGCTATACTGTTGATTATTAAAGAATATTCTGCTCACTGTAGAGGAGGCTGTTAATTCCTGTAGTTAGTAAAATAAGTTGGAATCGTGTACGTTTTATTTTCCTTGTTGTATGTATTTAATTTTCTTTTGGTTCTAATTTATTTGTGTGTTAGAGACCATCAGAATCATTGGCAACAGTCCTTCTGCTCTGGGATCAGATATTGAATTAGATATATCTTCACTGCTTAACTTGTTGCCAAGGCAAGAGAGACAAGAAGAAGTGAAACAAGTAAGACCTTCTGCCTGGTGTATTTAGTTTTTTTTTTTTTTCTCCAGCAAGTTTCTTGTTATCTTACTTCTGACTTAGTGGTATTAAAGTAAGTCTTTCCATTCATGAGTTATTCAGAAATCCAAAGGCCATGGAAGCAGGAAGGCACAAAGAATGGAGGGTATTGACTCTTCCTGAGCAGCCACTTGGAAACAATAAAAATGTTAGCTTGTTTGGAAGGGCAGTCAGCAGCTGCTTCCAGTTACTGCAGGGTTTGTCTGTCACCAAAAGATATGTATTCTAACTTCATTTGAGTAATGCTGTCCTGAGCCCTAACCAGAAACACTCTGGAGTGTGGAATTTTAAAAATCAAAGTTTTATGTGCTCCATATAAGCAGATTTCTAATTGCTAGGAGACTATACTGAAAACATGTCCTGCTTATTTTAGGTAGAATTTGCTGTGTTGAGACACATTACAAAACTGAGAAGAATTTACACCTTTTACAGCAGCTTAGGCTGTGATGATTCTCCTGACAACACCTTCCTTATGACCAGGCTCCAGTTTTGGAGATTTCTGAAGGACTGCTGCTTTCATCACTCCAGTTTAACTCTTGCTGAAATGGATCGGATATTGAGCGGTTTGTATTTCCTCTGAATGGGGTCTGGAGTTGAGGAATTTTATTGGTGAAGCTCTATTCTTGTAGTAAATGGCCTGGAACCAGTTACTGTGCTTGTGAATTTGCAGTGCTTGTATTAATGCTTTTACAAACAATGCTTCAGGGGCATTGGTGAGAAAAATGCAAAATTAAAATACCACTTAAAAATGGTTCTAAAGAGCTATCTGTTTAAAAGCTGTATTTGTTCCTCATCTTGCCATTACAGTTAAATGCAGTTTTAAGAAGTTTGAGAAGGACAAGTAAAAGACATAAGTATTAAATACTTTTTCCATGCTTTTTACTTGGGTTTGAATGTAGTATTTTTTTCTCTTCTGTAGAGCTAGTTAGTGAGTCAGCTCTATTTGGACTGGGAGTGGACCTTTATCCCAAAGGCACACAGTAGAGTCCTCAGTACATGAAGGGGTTAACTTCTTAGAGTATTTAGAAAGAGAGATGATAAGATTAAGCTATGGATTCTCTGTGTTCCCTTGCTCTGCTTATTTGAAAATGATGCTATGTCTGGTCTGATTCATCCAGGACTGTTGTTTCACAGCAGCTGTTAAGGAGGGGGAGGATTGGAAAGTTTTAAGCTTATTACAGTCATAAGGATTTTAATCTACGTGATGGCAATAGAGGGTATTTTTTTTTCAATTTTTTTTAGGTGATAAAACACCACTTGAGGAGATACATTCTCCATATGAGACTTTACTGTTTAGAACATTTTTATCTCACCTTATTCATCTGTCATTTCATATCTATCTTGAGGAGCACAAGTAAGTTTCATCTTTTAGTGAGATTTATTTCAAAGTCATGTTTGATTTTTATTTTTTTTTTTTCTCCTCTCCTTTTGTTCTCCTCTGCACAAGGCATCTGCTGCTGCACCCTTAGTTGTTCATTCTCTGGTATTATTCTGATACCAGGCAAAGTATCCCAGTAACTGATTCTGGGCCTGCTAACAAAGTACAGGTGTGTTTTTGCAGCAGCCAAATGTTAGTGCTTTGGGAGCTGGTGTCTGTACATAGCTTTTTATTATTCCATATAAATAGTAGCAGATGCTTTCAAAGAGAAAGGTAGAATGCTGAATTCAAGTGGGCTTTTGATCCTACTACATGAGGGTGCTTTTGAAATTTCTATTTAATGTCTTACATTAATGAAACAACATTTTCATATTGAACATAAATGTGAATCTTCTCCCTTTGATTCTGTGTGAGAGGGTAGTATTCAAGATGGTCTTGAGAAGCTGTATTCCAAGAGTCTTGAATTTCAGTGAATTGTCAAAAAAAAAAATCTGTTGTAAAATCTTGCAGGATAAATGTACTTAAAACATAAAAGCTTTCCTTGTACTTTTTGTGGGAAAAAAAAAAAAAAAAAAAAAAGTAATTTTTGTTTCAATTATAGAGGTAAAAGTCCTTATCTGCATCAGTGTTTCATTGAAATGATGTCCAGGAATGTTATTCCCACTGCATGTCATATTCAGGGTAAGAAAGATAATTTCTTCTTCAATAATTACCACAGACATCCTGGTCTTAATGTAACTGTTGCTTCTTTCCACTGAATTTTTTTACAGGTTTCTTATTTTCTGAACAGCATCGTGCTGTTTTTGCCATGAGGTACATTGACAAATGCTGGGAAATATACAGAGCTTTTTGTCGTCAGAATACCAGACCTCCATTTGAACCCACAATGAAAATGAGGCAGTTCCTTTGGATGTTGAATGTAATCTTCTAACTACTTTTTTTTGTGTGGCTAGATGCACTTTGTTCAGTTTATATGGGCATTTTAAAGTTCTACCTGTGACTTCTGCACACTTGGAAAAGTATGAGTAATGCTGCTTGTACAAACTGCCCGACAGATGTTATGGGCACACTGACACAGAAGTTTATGCACTTTTTGCAGGATTGCTTTCTGATCATTTCAAATCATCAAATCTTAGGCGAATGTTTGCCTTTTTTTAATTTTTAATATAAAATTTATATGCTGAAGTATCGTGCTGCTACAAATCAAAGAATGGAAACTTTTGGAGTAACGCATAAAGAATTTTGATAAGGTTAATCTTAATGTACTGCATCTTGGTCTTGAGATTCCTTACTAAAATTCAGCAATCCAAGGCTAGATCCAGAGGTGAGGGAACAATTCCAATCGATGTAACTGGGTTCTGAGTCACTGTCACTGCTTAAACCCAAGCCTTTCTTCTTCCTTGAACTTCCTTTAATAAAGCTATCAGAGGACAAAATTGTAATATTTGATATTATTATTTATGAGCTTTCTTGAGTTTTTTTCTTAACATTGTTTCTGAATTATCAGAAAAATTCCGATTGAATTCTATGGGGCCAGAATTGCAGTCTATCATTAATTATGTTGTGGAAATATCAGTTGAATCCAGTACAAATTTTGACACAGGCTTTAAAGAGAGTTGGGTTAGGTCTGTTAACATATAATCTTTAATCTTACTCAGGATTTCAAGCTTATTGGCAAACAATTAACTGCTTCAAGACTTGTGGAAATACTTTTCAAAGATGGTCCCTCCCTACACGACAGCAGCAGTAGCAACCTGGAGCAGGAGGTGTGTATGGGGGACAAAATAACAGCATGCATAGTTGTTCATTGCTACAGGAACAATTAAAATTATTTCTAGGAAGTGTTGCAGCTCCCTGTCTGCTAGACCAGTAAGAAAATGTCATTTACTGTGAAAAAATGAGGTAGCTGGCATGCCACATCCTTGAGGAATGGCTCTTGTTTAGTGAGTCTATTATAAATGAATATTGCATTTGTGATTTTTAAACAGTATCTGATATACACCATGTGTGTTAATAAAGGATTTGCTATGACCTTGTTACTGGCAGTTTTAGAAGCATCATCCACAATTGAACGTTTTAAGTTTTGGCAATGCTGTATGTTACTGCTCAGAGAGAGAAATTTCTTCTAAGTCCAGGTACAACAAAAGTCTTGGCAATATTATAAAGTGACTTGTAGAAGGCATAAACACAGTGTATCACCTTCTGAATTTTTGGTGCTTTGGCCACTTTCATTTTTTCTTTCAAAGAAGGAACCTATGAGTAGACATATGAAGCTGGAAGGGCTTCACAATTAGTTTCTGAGTTCCTGATTTGCTTAGGCACATGTATCTGTAATGAGATTTTGCAAAAATTAATGAATTAATCACTGTTTGTTTTTACTCTAGCTGGTTTTTCTTGAATTTGTTGAAGCTCTTCTTCACTGTGCATTGGTGTATGTTACCAGTGGTATGGTTAAGGAGCAGGTAGATCGAGATAATCAGAAAAGAAGTAACTTTAGAATGGAGGGTTTCTCTGAAGGAACCACAAATGAGACTTTCTACATGCAGTATTCTCTCTCCCAGGTAATGCTGATGCAGACTGATAAAATATTATCACTTGTCCACTTAAAGAGAGCAAAGTCAGGCCCTGCAAAAGCTCAAACATGGGAATTAAAGTCCTGTCTTTGTATAAACATTTGAATGAATCCTTCTGGTTTTCTTTGTTTGCTGCTACCCTTGATCGTAACATCAGTGTAGACACTTCTAACTTGCATGCACATCTCTGTAGATAATTCAAATTACACACAGAATACTTGTAAGTCGTCTTCTGTTCAACAAGTGGATGGACTGGTGGCAGACATCCCTCTGCTGCTTTAAGTGGAGAGTCAAAACTAATGTGTAAGAGTGGCCTTAAAGCCGTTGGCATGTTCCCAGAGGATACACTGTGCTCTTTTCTTTTTGCTAATTCTTTTAATATTGATTTAGTAGGTTCTAAGATGCTGCCTGTGACACTGATGCACCCTGCTGTAGGTGGCAAAGAAGCCAAAATAATTTTAAGTTTTGAAAGGGGCTAGCATTTCACCTAATGTTAAATATAATGTGTTCCTGTGCCTATATGTATGTATGAGCCTAAAAGTGGTGTATTTCTATATCTAACAAAGCATTTGCTCCTGTAAGAAGCCTTTGCTAATCTTATTTAGAATAGAAGTTGCTATTTTCTACATAAAGCAGAACAATGTGATTTCAGTATTGAATTTCAACACAAGACCCAGAACTTATTAACTGAATTTTAAACTTCTTGCTAGGTGCTGGGACCTTGTGAAGACAGAGGGCAAAGTCTTCAAGAATTTCTAATGGGTGAGTACTGTAGTTAATCATAAGCATCCATAAGCAGGGGTGGTAGAGGAGATACACTCTTGCTACAGCTTTAAAGGTGATTAAAATAGTAGTTAATAATTGAAACAATTGGACATATTGTAATTACAGAGGGTAGAGGCGTTCTGTTCTGTATTTACCCAAAGGGTTTACCTCTTCATGTTTGGTTTCCAACAGCTGCTATGCTCAGCTGGGCAAGTTTCAATCTTTGAACTTTGAATGCTTTTTAATTACAAGCTATCACATTTTTCCTTAAGAAAACTGTTCCCAGAAACACTGGGGACAGAGGAACACTGAAGACCTACAAAAGGGCCATCCCTTTCCACTTGCAGTCATAAGTTTCTCACAGTTGTCATCTTGCATTCTATGCAGAAGCAAATGTACATTGCCTACAAATGTGGAGAGAAGGAGCACCAGTGCAGCCAGACTTTTCTGTCATAACTTCAGATGAGAAATATTTTATTCCAAAAGGTATTTGAAATAGAAATATTCTTACAAATACACATTTAACTTGCATGTTGCAGATGAACTAGAAGCCCAAACTGGAAAAGATAAGGAATTTGATTGGTGGATGTATCAAGTGCAAATCTTCTTTACAGACAAGTTGTTTCCAGCCTACCAGCATGAAAAAGCGTTGAAGGCAAAAATAAAAGAAAATCGAATACGGAATGCTGAGTTAGCTGAGCTGAGGAGGAGGAAGGATGAGGAGATAGCTAAGTGAGTATTTTACCTTCTATTAAAAAAATTGCTGAAAATGCAAAATTTGCTTTAATAAAGCAGTACAGCACACCACAGCCAGCTCATCTAAATATAGAATGTAACGTGCAGAGTGTAACTTGTGTGACTTAATGGCTGTCAGGACTAATGATTACAGGCTGCTTTCAGGTCACAGAAATGTCTTTCCTGGTACTTAATCCCTGCTCTGTGTAAGGGGAGTCAAGTCAAATGTGTTTTTTGTATACTGTAAATTGGACTTGTAGAACTAAGTAGCTGGACTTCTTGCTTCTCAGTTCATACTGTGAATATAGTTGAAATTGCTTGGCCAGTATAAATATGTCTCCTCACTTGCAGTACATAACTTTAAATCTTGTTCACTCAGACTTATTGCTGAAAGAGAAGCAGAAGTTGCAAAAAAGCAGAAAGAAGCTGCAGAAGAAGAAGTGTCACTGGAGACCAAGAATACAGTTTTTAAGGAGTTAGAAGAGCTTGGTGCACAGTTAGTACCCCCTCCAAAGGAAGAGGCATCTGCTGTACCAGCCCCAGCTGTTACCAAGGTGCCTACAGGAACCAAGAGGAGGAGGAAGTAAATCTTCTGATGAGATCCACTAAATTGACAAGAATGTAAGTGTTCTTTGAAGAAAAAAATACAAACCAAAACCCACACCAAATAATACTTCCACGGGCATCTAAATCACAAGTGCTATATAAGTGAGATTTGCTGTTCTGCTGAAACTGAACTTCAAGACTAGCTGTCCTTAAACAAAGAGTCTTGGGAAAAGGAATATGTGGGCAGTTAAATAAAGTGTAACCCTCTACAGAAATAAACAAAGCTATTCCAGCAATCAGTGTTAGCTAATTAGTTAAAACTTGTATCAGTGTTAAGGTGATACAGAACTCACGTTCCCTATCGTGATGGTATTGCTAAAGTAAATGGCTTCATGTTAAATGTATGTTTTACATACATGAAGTAAGTCAAATAAGTATTTTTTGTGGTCCAGTCTGATTGTGTTTAGAGAGCACTTGCAGGTAGGAATTTGACAATGAAAGAGGTAAATTGAAGCAGGAATTGTTAAAAACAGGTCAGGTCAACATAGAACTGGAGCTAGAAAGTTCTCAGGCAGAGGTCTTTTGTAAGCAGTCTCATTTCACATCGCAGCGTAACATCCTGCTTATTTTATACAAATCAACACAGAGATCAAAAGATGCCCTTAAAAGTGTAACAATTATTAGTTGTATTTTATTTGCCAGTAAAATATTCACATAACATCAGAATGGAATGGTACAGGTGAGTTCAGACCGGTTTTTAATCTGTTTGCACATACATAAACTTTTTTAAAATCTAGAAATTTCATGATCAGTTTACAGATTTTAGTAGAAATTTTGATTCTTACAAAGCAAGTATTGCTTTACTATTGTCCTTATTCCAGTCAATAATATGACTAATAACTTTTCATGTTGAACAAGTGTCTGACATTGACATCTTTATAAATCAGTCCTTTGCAGATTAATCCAAGAAGAAAATATTATTAAATTGCGTCGCACAAAGTTTCTTCACTTCTTCTGTAAAACAAACAAAAAAACCCCCACATTTTTAGAAATTATGATATTTTAAAGGGACCTATGTAAGAACCAGGGCTAGCATCAAGTAGAATATAATTAAATAGACAAACAAAACAAAACAAAAACTGAGATTGTGCTGTAGAATTTTTTTTGTTGTTGTTTTCAGTAAGAGAAAGTTGAGTCAAGTCAGAAATTTCAGTCCCTCTGAAAGAGGAGCTGTAAGTGTCAAAAGTGTAAATGAGGAGGAGTTGGCTGGACCATTTGTCTTGTCAAACCTCTACACTGCAACAGAATACCTAGCTTCCACACAAGGAAATATATTATAATTCCTTTTCAGAGGAAGGAGGGATTGCTGGAGTCTATTTCAATAAATCAAGTCAGCAAAGCTTTTTGCAGTTTGGCAGACAATGGTGCAGGGGTAGCAGTACTTCCTGGATTTATATGGCACACAAAGAAATATCTGTTTCTGTACTACAGATTTGATCCTGAAGAATAACAGTCAGATAAATCATGCAACCAGCTTCTCCTCCTAAAACTTAGATTATTATGCTTTCATCTTAAAAATAAATAAATAAAGTAATAATAATAATTCTTTCCCATCATCCATCTGAGAGTACTGCCTCTTATTAAAACACACAGTCTCAAAATTGCTGCTGTCATACTCAAACTACTCCTCTTAAAAATGAATCTATTTAAAAGCTTACTGCATCTTCATGTTGATTTGCCCTTTAAGAGTAGATCAGTCTTTAAATAGCATTAAAAATAGACAATAACTGAATGAATACTAATGACAGGAGAGACAATGATGTATAAATAACCTACTACTGGATCACTGGCAAAAGTCAGCTATAACGATTTTCAACTAATCAACTAATACGCTTCATTCATTGTTCCTCAGCTTCTCTACTTCCAAGGAGGAAGAATAACTGATTAAGTATTTGGCAGGCATACTTAAATGATTTTGCTATTTTTTTTGTAACTGATGGAAGGCAGACTAAAACCTTACAGAAACTTACCTTGTCCTGTCTGTCACAGATCAATCTGTCTCTAGATTTTTGGATCAGATGAATTTTATTACTTTTCCACAGACAGATATTTTAGTAGTAACTACTGAAAGGTAATAAAAACCAATCCTTACCGTTAACTTCAATCAGATTTGCATTTTTTTGATTCAAAATAACATACAATTCTCGTTGGTCAGACTTTTTCCCAACTACCCAGTAATCACTCATTGCCTTCACAATAATTTCCTCATCTTCATCAACTCTGAAAGAAGTGGCAGAAAGTAAAGGTGATGGCAAACTGATTTTCTTCAATTTTCAGTACAAATGATTATGAAGAATGTCCTAATTTGTTGTGTCTATATAGTATCAGAGTACTAACTTGATAATTCAATAATTGATCAATCCAAGATGAAAGCTTCACAAATAAGCTGTGCAGAATGATTTAGTCGTTTAAGGACACAGATCTTAATTTGTCTGCTGGCCAACCACTCTGCTACTCTGAAGAAAACATCTGTCTTCCAGGAAGTTGAGGACACACTTCAAACATTGTTTTGTTACCATGACCAGAGTACAGGTGGATACACTGTGATGATAATAGGCTCTCACATATCAAGTTGTTAAACCTACAACTCAGCCATGCTGAAGAACTAGGTCTGTTATGTAAGGCTGACACTAACCCAGTAGTTCTGTAATATGCAACTTTTTGATTTAAAGAAAAATGAAAAACTTGAAAAACTTAAGTGGGGCAATTGCTAGTTCCTAGTTAGAGCTATAGATATCACAGTCATTTTGTAGTGAAAGGAAGGTCTCTTCACCATGAAATAGGTAAGAGGATACCGTTTACAGAAAGCTAGTTGCATTTTCTAGGAGGTGTATTGTAATAACTGCAAGGTTTGTATTCCATCTATTGCCCAGTCCCTAAAAGCAGCCAGTTATTTCAGAGGAGCATATAATATATTAGGTTGAAGCAGGTTTCTCTGTTCTTTATTCTACTTAGCCTGAAATTAGTCAGACCTATGTGCAAAAGCACTAGATAAAGCTTCAGGTTTCTTACAGTTTCTCTAAAGCTTCAAACAGACTTTCTAATGTAGTACAGAGGTCCTGGTCCTTTATTAAAATTCTTTTTTTTAAAGAACAAGAAAAGTTTGTATGATATATACCTCTAACCACCACCAAATATTTAGTATGACCACCATAACTAAGTCTATCATACAAAGCTATGAAAGTTATCCGTGTCAAAAAGGCATGGAAGCTTCACAAATTAAAAAAATTTAATTGACAGAAGGACTTAAAAGACTATTTAATAGCTGAGCATTACCTAGAGAAGTCACTGTTGATATCACCAAGAATCTTCATGAGGTCAGGATGTACAGATGCAAGTGATACACTGGGTGTTTTCCTCATGTGAATGGTACTCTTCTCTGCAAGGTTCATGTGATTGAAGTAGATGAACTTAAACTGAGGCTCCTTCTCAGCCCTAGGAAGATTCAGGAAAAGGAAGTGACTTGCAAATACTGCCACGGTACCTAAGCACAAGACTCAGAGAGAACACTTGTCAGCTAGCCAGCATAAAACTGAGACATCCTGAAATTATTTTCACATTAAAGAGACCAAGTAAGACTTGTGGCAAAATCAAACATCATTTCAATACTTAAATGAGAAAATAAAATGAAAAAAATCAGTCTTTCCTCTTCTTGGGCTACTAAGAAATAGACACACTGCAGTCTGACAGCCTGGTCCCATGTACCAGCAGTATTTTGTCTGCATTTTTTGGCTATTTTTTCTCCACTGTTTTGTTTCCTTGCCTTGTCAGCTTAGATTGATTTTTAAACAGACTCTTTAAACTGACTAATTTGGAATCTTCTATTCACCTCTTTAATTTTCTACCATAAAAAGAAAGAACTCTGCCTTGATCAATGCAATTAAATATTTCATCATCGGTGGTGTGGCCAGGTGACACTATTTTCAAACTTCTGCCTTCGTTATTCTTTTCCATTTCCTCTTTTATTACAGTAATGTAACATCTGTCACTTACAGCTGTAATTCTGTAGGAGCCATAAGAAATTTAAATTAGCAAAAACTGGCTATAGCAAGTGGTACTACAGGCCATGTATTATTCAGAGTGAAGGAGATACCCTGATGACACCAGTCACCTTAGCAAACAACTAGATACACTTTCTCTCTGTCACTCCAATGAATTAGTTTCAAGAAACTGTATCATGTTTTCAGGACACTATGGCATTAAACTTTAAAAAAGTTAAAGTAGCCAAAGCCAGAACCAGGTAACATAAAAAGACCCCCAAGTAGTCTGGGAAGGCAGAAGTCAAATGAAATCAGCATAAGAAAGGAGGTGGGCACAGAGCCAGCAGTATTTTTTTTTTCTTTAAGAAACTCAAATATTCTAATTGCCCAGGGCTATCTGTGAACTTCAAGAGATTCTGTCTTGCTCAAGAAAAGTTGGGAAGTATAAACTGAAGTTAAGGATTTACAGGAACTGCTGATTTTCTATTTCAACATGCAGGGAGATGGATGGTAAAAACTTAAGAACTTAAGTTTTTTATCTTATAGATACATCAGCTAGTTTCATGTTCACATATGAAAGAAACAAAATCCAAATATTCCACCTGTACCTGAATAATCAGTTAACAGCTTGGGAATGAGTTGACAGAATCTTAATTGATAATAATTAAGAATTATTATCTTAATGTTTACATGATTTTTTTGCAGCGGTTCTGCATATAGAGGAAAAAGGTTTCAGCTACACAATGAACATTTATTTCTGTATAAATAACATGCATGTTATTACTTCAGGGAGACTTGAATATGTAGCAACAAGGACTTTATAAATGCTTAAGGTACAGAAGGGTAGATAAACGTTGTTTAAGATACACAGCTCACTCAATGCTTTCAACATTTAGAAAAACGTTGCTATTATATAAGCAGTCCAATAAGCCTAATTTTTAACCAACTAATACAGGACTATGACACAAGCAGAAATGTGGTACAAACCCTGATATTCTCTTGTTGATGTTGTATTGTTCGCATATGTCTGATGCTAACACAGTGAGCTGAGGCCCAACAATGCTGTCCAGTTTACGGCAAAACTCCAGTGTGGGTGGAATTGAAGCTAAGATGGTAAAGAAAAGGGAGAAGTGAGATTCTTTTCCAACAGTAGAGAGGGTACAATTTCTGTAGTTGCTTTCCTTAAACATCATTGGAAGCCCTAGGACCAATTTATCTTTTAATTATACTCATGCACTGTGCAAATCATCCGAAAGTTAACTTTAAGCAATACTTAGTCATTTTATTGTGCAAACTGAATTACCAGTGAAGCAAAATCAAAAGATCAATAAAAAGCACTCGGGAAGAAGAAACTCAAATAAGAAATTAACTTGAGTATTTTTCAAGATTAAAACAAGTTTTATGCATTTTGTATTAACTGTGTCTCACTTTAGAAATGATACCAGCAGGTACTTACCATCAATCATAAAGCACACAGCTGCACTCATGGCCTGGAACAACAAAAAAGTTACAACACAAAGACACTTAGAACGGGTTACTTCAGCCACCTCAAAGAAATGGCAGTACTTCAGTCAACCAATTTTTAAAAAAATTACTAGTGTTACTAAAAATTCACCCAGTTTAAAAGTAACCATCACGCAATCATCCCTAACACAGGGTAGTTACAATCTTAAACCCTGTGTATGGGAACTGCTGGGTCCTGGCCTGAGCCACTGATTGAGCACCTGGGGAAAAAACCCCTCAAGTCTGGGAGCACAGGTGAAGGCAATTCACCTGTGGGACAGGAAGAGGTGGAGCCTGGCTGCAGCTCTGCAGCTCTCTTAGACCTTATTTAAGGGCTGACTGCACCTGGAGATCCCTCCTTGGTGAAGCTTTCCTCTGTGAACCTGAATCTTCTGATACAGGTGAGCAATCTTCTTCTATTCCTTTCCCTACAGCATCTTTCTATTGTGTCAATCCTTCTGTCATTACACCTCTGTGTAATGCCTTCCCCATTATACTGATCTGTTCAATTGCTATATCCTGTAAACTGCACTGAGATTTAAATAGGAGAAATGTAAAATGTATTAATAAATGCATTCTATGCAAGGATGTATATCTGCTAGGAACTGCCTCCCCACCTATTAACACAATATAGAGATAAGTATGAAATCACAAAGTTGAAGGCTGATATTTTGTTTTGATAAAGCATTATTTTGGGAAGGTACAGAAGAGAGGAAAAGAGGATTCAGGTTTTAAAGCTTCTTGCTCAAAATTCCAAAGAGTTTTCTGCCTCTTTAGTCTGGTCCTATCAATTCATGTCTGAATGCAATTCATGAGTATTTCATATTGCTGGTTTCCTCACTATATATAGATTCTTAGATTTGAGGAGTAATTGCAGAGAAAAATGCAATACCTTATAAACAATTAGATGAAGCTCTTCATATGTGTCATCAGTATTAACAAATATTTTGGGAAATCTGCATTTTGCTTCTGGATCGTTAAGATTTAAGGGTCCAGTAAGAAACCTATAAAATAATTTAACAGCTTAGATGTGATGCATTCTTGTATTTCAGTTTTTTTTAATTTAACAGATGTTTAAGTTAGCAACTACTTGCATGAAGTTAGCAACTACTTGCATGAGTACTAAGCTATTCAGAGAAGCACAGAGCCCTTTTTCACTGCTACTGGGAAAGCCTGCATCCTTTGCTTTCCACCAGTAGCTCTATGTAGAACAGTGGTATGCTAGCGGAACGTAACTTTGAGGGGAAAGCCAGGAGAGTTTGTGCCATTGCTTCAATCCCTATAGAATACACTCTATCAGACAAAGGGAACTACAGTATTAAAAGAAAGATGTCCAAATCCACAATTATTCAGATCTTGCCCAGTTGCTTACATGCCCACCCTGACAAACTGAGTACAGTATCATTAGAAACATGCACCTTTGTCTCAAGTGCCTGACTGAAAGGAAGCGTCTGGAGTGCTGCCAAAACTTTTCATGCAGTACATTAAGAACAGAGGAGAGGAAAAGGCTTAATTACTGTTACTGCATACTTTTTCTTTTTTTTTTTTTTTCCTTCCAGAGTTTAGGTTTTACCTAGCGCTGACTACTGTGTGGCCTATGGAATAAACTACATGTGGAATGTGCATCCCAAAATAAATTCCTTCTTCTCAAACGTTTTGCCCTCGAGGGAAGCAGTAATAGATGGAGACAGTTATTAAGAGCTACCTTCCATAATGTTGTAGATTTCCTGGCATTTCAGCCCGTATTGGAGAATCTCTTCCTGCTAACTGAAGCAAAAAGGAACAAGAAAAAACAGCTTATAGGTATTTCCTGTTAATGTTCTGTGGACTGTCTTTAAATCATACTAAAGCAAACCATCTGCAAAAAATAACAGTTGGCTAAAGTGCAAGAGTTGCTGACAGGGCATTCAGATTTTGCATTTATTAATTTTTAAATGTAATTCATGGAGCTCTGCCAGGGTGGGGGGGTAGGGAGGGTAACTAACTCCTTGTGGTTTGAATGGCATTTCACACTGAAACAAACACCATAAGTCAAATGTTCTCTTTTTGAAAAGCTTGTTAAAAGCCACAGGAGCTTGCTTTTCAGTTATAGGAGGTGAAAAGGTTCTGCCAATAATGCTTGAAGACTTTCAAAATTCACTTCAGGCAGTTTGAACTTTCAAAATTCACTTCAGGCAGTTTGAAACTTCAATTCACCCAGCCCTGAACTGCTAGACAAAGACTCGGAGGTCAATTAGGATTTCCTAAGATACTGTATGTCAAAATTGCTGTATTTGATTAACAATGTATTAACAACAAAACAGCACATGACTTACTCAATTACCTTAAATCTTTTAAGTGTTAATATGCATTAACACTGCACATCTTTGGTAGACTCAAATGCGTGTTTTTAAATCATTTCATTTTAAAATAATACCTTCATTAAAATGCTCATTTCCTATGATAACAGAAGCGTATGAGAAGAGCAGTAAGACACATTTCAATCCCACTTTCTGTTAGTTATAAAAGATTCTACTTCAACAGCTTGTGGACTTTATTGAGGATGTTGGCTATGAACATACCTAGCATCCTCTTTGAAGTTTGAGCAGGTCTCCACTGGTGCTACAAGGAGTCATTAGGTTTCAGCACTTAGGAAAGCCCCTCTCAGGGACTCATATTCACAGTATCAGCAGAATTCTGATATACTGTAATTGATAGGTGCAAACATTACTGACTTCAGCTGAGCATCTCAAAAGCAACAAATCTCAGATATTCCTAAACTGAAACTTAAGATGAGGAAGGGAGAAGAGATGCTTCTGTTTTATATTTTAGACTTCAGTGTTACAGGATACACAAAAAAATGAATCCAACGTATCATACCTCAGGCTCCATGTGTCTTGGGAACAGAGATGTTGTGAGATACTTGTACAGAATTCTCATATCGTCTTGTTCCAGTCCACTCCTGAAGCACAGGGAAATGGAAAAATGCAAATTGTTTGTTATGTGGTTCTCATTTTCCCCCTAATCACAACCCAGGCAGCAAAACAGAACTAGGGTGGGTAGCAACATTTCAGTGTCTTCATAGACTAAGTCTCAGAATATTCATTTTATTTAAAATGTTATTTTATTTCCTAAATTCAAAACACATCCAAGTTTGCTTTAAAATAAAGTCATTTTTTTCTGCTACTAAACCATATTCAGTGTCATAATTATGTAACTTAAGCACAAAGTAGAGTTGTTCTCTTCTGTGAAACTTGAAAAAATAAAATGCTTAGCTGGAAGTGAAGCACTATGCCCTGAACAGCTTTGCCATGCCAGTAAATTCCCCCCAGATCCCACAGAATAAATTATTGAAGTACCTACCAGATCAGCTGATCATTGTAGAGAAATGCAGTATATTTGACTATGTTTAGGCTTTCTTCCATCCTATTAATAAATGACTGAATTTTCAAGTAAGTCATTTTATCCAGTGGAAAGAAGCTGATTCCACAAAATACATCCAGCAGATCACAAGACTGTAAGTGCAGTGTCTGCAAGTACTAAGAGAATAATTGCCATTGTTTTTGAGAATTCAGAAAGCTTCCAATGTGTAGATTTAAATGACAGATTTGAATCTAATCCCCTGTAATCTAGGCTAAGGACCCCAAAAAGCTTTCAATTCTGCTTGTGCAAAGTTTTTCTTTATGTGTCAACATGATTCCAGGTCTCAGCTTACTAATATTTCATCAGCTGGCTTTTAAGGCCAGCTCAAGATCCTTTGAGAGGATAAGAAAGCACAGCCTTTCATACTAGTGTTCCATTTCAGAAGTAACTGTAACAATTAACAGATTAGCTTGTGACATGCAAAGGAAAAGATTATTTTCTTTCCTGATAGCGCATTTAAAATCTCTGGGTAAAGCTTACAATCTGTCCAGCATCCTGGTCTGTGCAAGATAAGTTAGTCAATGGCTCCCTCTACAGTCATTTCACATTACCAAAAAAATTACCTTGCTACTCAGAGTAGCACATACTATTATGATAACAGACCAGTAGGAAAATGTCAACAAAAATTAGATTTGTATACACAAGACAGAATAGCCAAAGTTATTTCTTATATCAAGTTATTACAGATGTCTTTGTCTACCCGGCATAAAAAAAAAAGCTGCATTCAACCAAACACAAACATACACACAGCACTGCTCAGATCAACCTGTCCATCTTAGCAGAATAATTTTCTTAAAGTTTATGCATTTCTATATCAGATGACAACATTTTTGTTCACGTTCACATATCCCACAGGACATACAGACAGTATGACAAGTCTCTGTCTCAGTTTAAATCTCATTTTCTTTCACAGTTTCAATGCAGACCAAGCATGCCATCAATGTTTGGCCAATTAATTCAATAGGCTCTGCATGAAAGTTTTTTTCTAAGCATTTCTTATTCCCCAGTAGAAAGAGAAATATTTTATCACTTGGGCTTCTTGGTTACACAAATCTCAGTACCTACTCTTTTATCTTCAGTTGGAGCATAAAAAGAAAAATAATATTTTTAGATTAAAATCTATTGCTTCTCTTTTTACTGTACTCTATTTTTGAATTTAGTCTAGAAAATGTAGACAGCTAATCAAACAAGCACTCCTTGTGCTGTCAAGGTTTATCCTAGGCCTTACTTTAGTCTTACAATAAAACAAACATGCAGACAGACAAAACTCCAAGATGAAACGAAAACCCACAAAGAGAACAATTTTTTTTAAATACCACTTTAAAATGACTACTCTCCACCTTCATCAGAGCTATTGATAGTCAGATGTCTGTGACAGTTACTCAGAGACACTACCAGCTGACAGCAGTCCTCAGCTTCCTTCTGCGCAACAGACACACGGATGCCACCTTCTAAAGTCAGCCTGATGAAACTTTTCACGTCAAAACTGAAAGTTTTGCTAGATGTGACTATTTGGAAGTTACATGAATAATATTTGATTGACTTCCTGCTTAGAAATAGGTTTTGCTTTCCATCTTTTTGCTCAAGCATTTGCTTTTCAAAGTTGAAGCTAAATACTGAAGACAAGTTATAAACAAGGCTTATTTTCTGAAATCAGGCATGACTACTGACACCACAAAGGAAAAAAAAATTAGTTAAGTATCACCACTACCCATTACTTCACAGTACTATGAGACTTGAATGTCTGTGCATGTAGGCTGTGGAATCACTATCTCCAGATATTTTCAAGAGCCAGGTTGGATGGGGCCGTGGGCAATCTGTTCTAGCATCAGATCTGGAGGTTGGTGGCCCTGCCTGTGGCTGGGGGGTTGGAACTTGATGATCCTTTGGGTCCCTTCCAACCCAAGCCATTCTATGATTCTATTTTAGTAGCAAGCAGGAAGTATTTGGAAAAAAAAAATGAGTAACCAGACTTGGTGTTGTTGCTGCATCTCTCCTGCTGTGCATGCATTACAATCTCACTGAAGCCACATAGAGAAGATTTTGGATTTTATTCCCACTGAACAATTATACTGTATGTGTTCTTACCCGATGGAAGAATTTCTCTAGTCTCTCCTTTAAAACTTTTACACCTCCATCTTCCATTGCTTTCAGAAATGTGCCATTGAAAAGCTAGTGGTTAAAAGAAGTCAGTCAGTTGTGTAGTCAGTTGCACCTTTCTTGCAACTTTTCAACAGTACAGCTCATGTCCCTCACTATTTCAACTCTGCATAGATCCAAATGTACCCTTTTATTGGGAAAGTCTTTCTGATTTGCAGTCTAGATATATATAGTAGCAGAGTCAGAATTAAGGTATTCTCTATTAGTGGCAAAGTCACTTATCTGTGTTGCTTAAGCATCTTATTTTCCAAAAGTCAGATTGATGGCCTTTATTCAGTATTGAATACTGAATAACCATAGATAGTATCTAATACCATCAAAATCAAGTGGACTTGACAGAAATTAGAGGGCTCTTATTTTTACAGTAAACTAATGAACTAATGCTGGCAACAGTTGGATTTTTTTCTTCCACCACCACGGTAACAGCTTCAGGAAGAGAGCAGCCAGCAACAGTGAGCTTGCACATCCAGATGGTATCATGAGGATTTCCTCTACTGCCTGTGTGTTATTAACCCTACCTTGTACATGCTGTAGCACTGCTGCAGGACTGAACTATAAACCTTGTCCTGCAGAAAACAGAGCAAGGCATTAGTGTAAGCAGAGGTAGTATTTCAAATATTTTGGCTGAGCTACACATAAATGTTTTAAAAGAGCAGGCACATGCACAGATCAGTGAAATTGATTTCTGGAAATGTACACAGCATTTCCAGTCAGCATACAGAAATTTCTTTATACCTCTAAGCTATGAAAGTGAGTCACCTCACATTTAGGATCAAAAGCATTATTAACTCACACACAAGATGTCAGTTACAAATATTGTATTTCCCTAAGGCCAATGGTTAATCTTATCAAGAAGAAAACAACTTGGGTACTTCTGATGGTACTTTAAAATGCAATATAACTGATGAAAAATAGGAGGAGGAAAAAAAAAAAAAAAGAGTTCAGTATTACCAGCAATTCTTCTTCCTGGTATTCATAGACTGGCTTTCCATCTTTGTGTTTTTCTATTATGGGATTTCGTACAACCTAGAAAATGGAACAGGCTG